TATAAGTATATTTTTAATCCACAATCACTTTCTTTATGTAAAACTAAAGAGAGAAAGCATTGAAATTATGGTTGCTATATGAGAAAATGGGGAGGTTGAATCAAGAAATTCGAAGAATTACGTACCAATTGAGAAAGATTTCCTGTTTTACTGCGAACTGATTTCAACTGTCTTCTTGTTGGATTTCAACGAGACTGGCGATTTGAGCCTTGAGGAGCCTTAGCCTGGAGAGTGTGGAGAGGCGACCTTTTAGGGTTTTGTTTTTCAATTTAACGTGTTTTCACTTTACCTTTTTTTGTTTTTTTAATGTAGTCGGGTTGGGTCGGGTCAGTTTGGATCGGGTTTAGGGTGTTAACCCATAACCCGACCCAACCCGACCCGACTTCCCAACCCGAAACCCACCCAAAAAAAGCAAAAAACCGACCCAAACCGGTCGGTTTGGGTCGGGTCGGGCGATTTGGTCGGGTTGGTTTGGGTTTTGCCCACCCCTAAATTGGCGCCGGTGAATACGCACTTTGATTTATTAATTATTATTCTCTTTCTTTAGGGAAAAAAAATGGAAAAGCAATTGTTGAGAAATTCTGGCTGCGGCAGGCGGAGCAACCGTCAAAACCACCCAATCATAGCCGTCCCGCCACGGGAATCCACCACCATCCTAATTCATTATTGTGATGACACTTGGGAGTTGGGACAGGTGTCTTTCGATTCAGAATAATTCAAAACATACTGTTATTATGCTAAATTTGACTGTAATTTGTATCCATTCCTCATTCCATTGTTGGTGGTAACATGACAATGCAGCAGGTTCTGTTCACTCAGGTAAAGAGAAGGTAAAATTTTTGGTCAAATCCAATACAGAATCCTACGATGAAAATTTTGAAAACATTTCACCTTCAACTTCTATTTTTTGCAACCAAATGTTTATACGAGACACATAAGAAATATCATTCTCCATCTTCTTGACTCTATAACCATTGTAATGGATTGATTATTGTTAAACAATTCAAAGAAATAAAGAAAAGAAAAATGAGGCTAGAGTTTCATTAATACTACATAATGTAATTGAATACAAAAAAATGATTTAACCTAGAAACAAATGGACTATATATAGGCTAAATAAAGGAAATTGAAAGGACTATTCTACTCTCAATAAATAATAAAATAAAATAACCCTATATTCTTGACATCTCTCCTCAAACTCATGATGTTGCTGCAAGAACTATCGAGAGTTTGCCAAGCAAGAAACGAAAACTATGAACCGGATGTGACTTCGTGAAGAAGTTAGCAAGCTGCAACGAAGAAAAGATAAAAGGTAGGGAAATAGTGCTAGTATGCAGAAATCAAATCTTCA